TATATATATATATATATATATATATATATATATATATATATGATTAAAAATAAAATTTTATTAAAGATGGTCAATAAAATTTTCTAACAAAAACTAATAACAAAATTATTAAATATTTTGTAACAATAATATAGATAAAAAAAAATGAAGGGTAAAGAAGTTCAAAATAGAAGCATGAGATTTCTGTGGATATAGTTGGCTACCTCATGATTGCAGTAGCATGCACATGATATTTCTCAAGGTAAATTCGACGTGTGCGCGTGGATAGAACGAAACGTGACATCCTATGTTATTTAATTCTTCCTAATGCTATCCTTTTTAGTGAAATCAACATATTATATTTTTAAAATTTACGAAAAATATAATAGAAATTATATGTTATTTTCTATCTCATTCCCCTCTATATCTCTCTAAGGCATTTTCTATCTGATTCTAACATGTTCATAATGTGAAATTTTAGAAAATATACTATTTTGTACGAAAAATATTACTTAAAAATGGTGGGGGCATACTACAAATTGGAGCTTCCACGTACGAGAAGGATAATGGGTTTTGAATTGAAAGAATGGCATATACTTTTTAAAAATTATAATTTTTCAATAGGGGTTGATAAATTATAAAATTCATCGACTTAAATTAATAAATTTTAAATAACTTAATACATTAATAACTCATCAGATAATTTTATATTTTTACTTCTAAAATTTTATGACTTAACGGTGCATGGTGTCTTAATTAATAAATTTTATTTTGTCTAAATATCAAGTTAACTTACTTCTTCCAACATTAATTAACCGAAACTGAATTAAGTCCAAATCTGAAAAAAAAAATATTAACCCTCAAGCTGAACCTCTGGCAACTCGTATTGTGAACCCCACTTACAAACAAGTCAATAAATTGCTAAAGAAAAATAGAAGTGGATTAAGAAACGGACTATAGAATGGAAGACTGTGACAAGGGCAAGCATAAACCCGACCAGATAAAGCCCACAAAAGATTTTCTTGCTAAAGTTTATGATCATGTCTATCCGAATAGAGTGAAAATTAGTCATAAAAAAAAAATTAAAAGAAAAGTTTTATTAGAAATAGCCAACTTGATTATTTAGTAGGGGTTTGTTATGACAAAATCCGTAAATAATTCGTACCAATAATATATATATATCATTGATATTCAACTACATTAAAAAAAAAATCTTTTT